GATCAAAAGGTTCTCACTGTTTCCATTGATTCATCAAAGAATTTCTTAGAATTTTGTTTTTTGCAGAAGACTCTCCATCTTGCCACTAATCGAACTCTGAAACACACATCTTAACCTGCAACACAGTCTCATTATTGTTGTTGTGTTTTATAGAGTTTTCGTATAATATGGCTTCATGCCAGACACAGTTGCCTGATGATATGTTCTATCGTATAACTAGGTACTTGTCGGTTCCGGTACTTGCGCAGTTCCGGTGAAGTACCAAAGTTTTTTTCATTGTCTAAATCTATTTTTGAACTCACAACAAGCTTTTTCCTTCTTAAATCGTAAAGGCTCTAGTCCCTTAATTTTTCTCGTAGGTAATGGAACTTTCCGGTACTTTCCCTGATACCGGATCGAAAGTACCGAATAATTCGATACCTAACAGGATACCGAATCGAAATTTTCGGTACTACGCGAAAACAGTACTGATACCGGTATCGAAGTACCGACAATTCTCTATGTATAACCCTGAATATTTTAATCATCATAAGAAAGACAGATGCAATATTTAAGGTTAACGAATGTTCAAGCTCATCATCTCTTTGAGACATGAGGAACTGCTTGTTCTTATTTTCCATTACATAATTTAATCAGAATTTATGCCGAAATTTTCCTTTTTCCAAGTTGTTTCTTTCTTTCTTAGTCACTCAAATCACTTTCTCGCAAAAAGGTAATGAATAACTTCTTCCATTTGTTTTTTCCTTTCTATATGCATTTTTTGCAATTTTTTCGGTACATTACCATTTAAGACTAGGAAATTTCATGCGACTATGGCAGTATATATAAGTAGAACGATTTCAGTAGTATATGTTAAGACAATACAACTTTTTACGTGCATGAGACATATATTTCGTAACAAATAACATTATCTTCTTTCGTTCTTTCTTGCACATAATTAATTGCTCAACCAAACGAAATTGAGGAAAAGGAAGAAGTATACCATTTTTTGTGTGCTAATTATAAAACATGAGAAGAATAAACACGACATTTTCTGTTCTTATCCATAGATTCAGCTATGAGCATTATGAGTGAACAACAAAAACAGTTTTCATCGATTACTCAACAGTACTATCACTCGTTTGGAAATGTACTCGATCAAATTAGACCTTCGACAAACACTCGAGTGCGAATTTTTGTGCTCTTAATTTTATTGCACTACCATGTGTACTGACTCTTGGTTTCAACCATTCGGATGTTACAAAGTCCATTCACTTGCTTTGCGGATTGGAAATGTGTTTTGGTATTGTATTTTCAATGTTATCTCGAAGTTATCTGGTTCTGACGGATATTGATCGGTTTGTCCTAAGTTCACCAATGGTAAAATATCAACAATTCAGCAGCATGGCTATGATGTTCAAAGGAATTCCAGTCACTACTGGATTTTGGTTAATAGTTTCCGTTCACGCTCTCATATACACTCAAATTGCTCAGCAACGGTGCGGATTTACTGAGGCTTACGTCAGATTCGTAAGTGTCTACAGTTCATTTGCGGTCGGACTGTTTACCCCTGCATTCACTATAATATTTGGAATGCTCACAGTGAATAACGTGAAAAAAGCCGACAACGAATTTCCCCTGTTTCAGTAACTCCTTCGATAACAAAGAATGATCAACAAATTATGCGACTGATGTTATTTCAAGTAGTCTTTTTTATTTGCTGTAATGCTTTAGCGCCTGCCTGGTATGTTTATGTAGCTATTACTATTAATGTCACATTCAAATCTCAACAGCGAATAGCAACTGAAAATTTTTTGCAATTTTGTACCAGCATTCTTCACAATCAATCTATTACTCGTACACATTCTATCTCTACTTGAGTTACTCTACAAACGTCTAAAGATAGTCTAAACCAGAGGATTCATTCTCAAAAAAATAAAAAAAACCAACTCAAGGTGTTATGTGCAATACAATACAATCGATTATGCTGAATTATATTGAGACAATAGTCGAGTAGAAATAAATTGTTTTGTTTGATTATACTACTTTTTTATAAAAACACTTATTAACAAGTTTGATCATATCAAATTCAAACAACTTTACACTACATACAAACAGGTATTTCCTTCTCATCTAAACTTTTTAATTAACTTGTCTGTTTTAAAGTTCAATTTTAAACTCAATTTTTGCTCTAAAGTAACGTCCTTGAAGGTTTAATCGAGTTTATTTACACGGAAAAAAAAAAAAAAAAAAAAAAGAAAACAAACGTGTATCAGTTTTGTTCCTTTCAGTAAGTATATAGTAGAGATCGGTCAAATAGGATGAGTGAATAAATGACTGTGACTCCTGGCATGCCGACATATAAATTATTAGCTTTCTTCGATGCGGGACATGTGTCCTCTCACGATGCTTCTCTCACTGTTGTGTTTTTTTCTAAAAGATAGGAGAGTTTATGCAAAACTGCTTTTGAATGAGCCCGGGCCTCTTCGTTTCCTTTGTCAAGAAAAATTATTTCTGACTTTATGCGGAAATGTTTCACAATTAACGATGGAAACGAACACATCAAATCCTCGTTGCAACTAGAATTTGATTCACTCTACTCTTTCCTAGTTGTTGATTGTGAGAAATAAAAACAACAATCTTGTCTGATTTATGTCAAAATAAACTTCTTTGAAATGAAAAGAAATAAGAATCTTCCAAGAATGTCGACAAGAAAGTATATTTATATATGACGAACGAAAAAAAGATGGCCGTTCGATTCAAAGAAAAAGAATAGAAAAGAAGAAAAAAACAGAAGATAGATAATAGTCTATATGTCGGCATACGAGGAGTCACGGTCAGTTATGCACTGATTCTATTTGAGCGATCCTAAGTATGTGAATATTCTCTTTTTTATGAAGTGGAAAAATTCCCACTAAAGAACAGCTGTGAGACAGATAAAATATGAAAATTCTTCATTCTGTCTATTAATTTCTACGCATCCAACTACTAGTTTGCATAAAATCATATTACACTACTTATTTATCATTGTGATCATCTTTTATATTTAAGTTTAATAATCACAACTTCAGAATTTTCCATTGTTGGATAATTAAAGTAAGTAATTTCTTTTTCATCTTAAAGGCCCCCCTCAGAATGAAATCTTTTTGTATCAAAAAATCAATCTGGAGACAAGCACATAGAAAGATAGCCTGGAGTGTTTTCCTTCAGAATCTGTATCTCTTAGAACTGTTTTTTCGTGGTTTTCGAGAAACCTTGAAAACCAGAATCTTCAAATAATAATTCTTTTTACTGGACACTTAAGCAAGTAAATTTTTTCTGAACATGTAGATTTGTAGGGCAGACTTTTCTGATCAACATAAGACGTTACACAACTCTGTATGATGTTGCGTTCAAAAATTACAAGCATTTTTCTACATGTCTTAAAACAGGTCAGCGAATGCACAGCGTTTTCTCTTAAAACACGTTTTTGTTCGAACATGCGCAGTGCAGTCAAACATACTTCAAGCTAGAGATTTCGGATTAGTTTTATTTTAAACTAGACAACTAACTGCGTGGGCTGGTGAATCTAGATTTTTGAATTAAGCCCTAATTTTCTAGAAAATCAGGGATCTCTGAAAAATTCGAACGGATTTTTTGGGGTTTTGAGGATCTTGGATATTTAGAAAACGAACGAAGACCTAAATCAAAAATCTAGTCCTATCAACCCACGCAGTTAGTTGTCTGGTTTAAAATAAAACTAACCCGAGATCTCTAGCTTGAATATATTTAAAAAAAGTGCGCCGCAGTGGAGGATGGATTTTTGACCTTGAACTCTAAAAACCCCGGAACGGTAAGAGATAGCGAGGAAAAATAATTTCATAACCACACTTTGATATGGCAAACATTTGCTGAAAGTAGCATCAAAATCGGATGTAAGACAAAAAAGTTGTTTTCTGAGGGGGAATCCCTTAAAACAACTTTAACGCACGCACTTTAACAACTTTAAATATTAAAATGATGTTCATTGATATATAGAAACAAAATGCCATCATCAAAGACATCGTCATCATCAGGTGGTCATAAGTCTGGTAATCAAGGTTCGTAATGACTATAAAATATATTAGCCCTATTCACAATTTACAATAAACTATGGTAGCTGTTCTGTGAGACGTGAAATTGTTTAAAACTGCTTTTGTATAGAAAATATGCCATCTTTTAGTTAATGTCTCTTTTGTTCTAATTTCACCAAAAAATAAGTTTTATTGTCCAGTACATGAGAACTCATCAGCTGTTCGCCGTGTACGATGGAATGTTCACATTTCTAATTTTTACTAATTCGATAGGCAGTCAAGAAACTAATAAATTCAAAAACAAATTCTGTTTTAGTGATATCGAAACCTTAACTAGTTATTTAAATGATCCCATATTTTCCATGCATAAGCAGTTTTGAGGCAATGTTAGTGTGATATAGAACAACGTCCATATTCAAACTGTGCGTAAATAAGACTCATTAAAACCGTATTTGCTGGTTTCATCATTTGAAAAATTGCTTCTTTTTTATTGATCAAATTCTAGGTACAACAGCAGCCAGACAAGCTCATTTAAATAATCATGCTAACCAATGTAATCCTAAGCACCCTGAATATAGAGGTTTTCAGCCTGGCTATCAAGGTTTGTACGTACGGACGTTTACAGTTTTTGTGTGACGCTATTTTCTGCTTAATTATTGTCATAGAAAATGTCTATTTTATTTGTCAGAGAACAAAAAGATATCGTGCGACAAAGAAAAACTTGATAAACAAACATTTTTGTATGCAATTAATTTTGTTGAAACTTTTGATTCTCAAATGTTTTAGGTAAAGGTACAAAAGCTGATTTGATTAATCATGCTAAGCAATTGAATCCAACTAATTCCTTATATAAAGGTGAACAAAATTAAATTAAAAAATAAAGAAGAATTAGAATAGTAAAAGCAACAAAATATATTAACCATCGTCGTATCAATCAAACATATGATAAAAACTATACTTTTGATTCACTCTTCATTCATTGAATATTTTTTGTAGTTTTTGTATTCAGATTGGAAAGTTGAAAATAAAATATAGTTTCTGGACAACAAACTTCAACTACAAGTCTCGCTTGTTGCATGCCGATTTAAGAGCCTTCTTCAGTAGTTGGGAAAAATTATTATAATCATATATAATTGTAATAACCTGTTCTATCTTTATTTCAAATCTAACTAATTTCATAACAAATAGTAGAGCACACATTGAGAAAACGAACTTTTATATACGCTTTTAAAAGCACTGAAAAATAATCCCGAGTGCGAGCTGACTGATACATGGAGAGAAAAAATGTTTCCAACTAACTGCGACACTTGTCCGGGAGATAAAGAATTAATAGAGGATATGTACATGGCCACGACAATATAGTTATGGAAGCGTTTTGAAATCTTCATATAAGAGCAGTCGCAGGCTTCGTATTTGTCCCGTTTTTCCTGTTTTTTGACTTCTTTCTGCAGTTTTACTGTTGACTGTGGTAAACTCTGTTAGAAAGTTAAACTTAACAAGAGAATAACAGACTAACAGAAATGACGTTTACATCAAGGATTAAAATGTCCTCATAAAGACTGACTGTATAAATTCTACACACTCATCTCGAAATGCTAAACAAAAGAAGTAAAAAAACTGAAAGACAAAAAAGAAACGAAGAGTAAAGAAAAAGTAAAATGAAATACGATGTTAGACATGGGCGGATCGGGACCATGGACCAAAAAGCTACTCCAGTAAAAGTAAAACTTTCGTTGTAGCATCAAATGCTAATGTGAGTTTCAAACTCGTTTTTCCATCAAATTTTTTCTTTCAAGGCCATACAAAGCTCTACATCGCAGTACAATAGCGAAAAACCTCATTGAACATTCTTTCAATGGCAGAAGATTTTTTCGTGTTCTACGGCCAAATTTTTCATTGGAACCAAACAATTAACTACGGGACCGGGACCAAAAAAGGCTTGTCCTATCCACCTCTAGTAGTTGTACGTATAGAATAAGAGGAAGATGAACGAAAAAAACAATAATAATACTGGACCGATAATTTAAAAAGACTCTTTTTAAATTGAGCCGCAGATTCAATCTGCGACTCATTTCGTACTTCATTTTGGCTTGAAGAGAAACGTTGGTATGTGGCTTACGACGATAAGTGTCTTTTTTCGGTGTCTGATTTTGTTGCAGTACATGCTAGTACTTCTTCATACTATCTGCCAGTTTACTCGACAGCACCGAAATCGAAAATTTTCCACGATCGTATCACTAAACTCACCGTACAAGAGCAGCATTATACGCGTATACGTTATTTTAATCACGTCGAAATGTTGGAGCTCACAGATTTTATCTCGCTAAAAACCCTTCTGACTATTGTCGATCTGAGTCAAGTCCAACGTTTGACTCTGACATAGCTGGATGATGTGCCGTTGCTCATGCTCAATTCAAATGTTCTACATCGTCTTCACAAACTATCAATTAAGGGCTATTTAACACCAGATTTTATAGGACACATGCGAGGCAATCGGTTTGAACAGATTCGGACACTTGAAATCCGCATTTCAATCAAGAACATAAGTTACACTATTGAAGATTTGTTACGTTGCTTTCCACAGGTGATTACGCATGTCACCTATGAGCTCGAGAAAGGATATGAGTCGTTTGATCGATGGATTCAAACACTTGTCAAATGCATCATTTAACACTATATCATCATTCATTGAAATTGAAGAGAGCTGGTTATTCAAGTCGGAGTTATTTATCGACGGAGTGCATTTACATGCCGATTTCATCAGTTTGCCGATGAGAACTCACATGGAAATTTCCATGTTTAGATCGGACAACAGATAAGCACTTCCACTTTGGTGATACTATTCCCTGATGGCTGACTTTCTCTGGTAATTTAGACGCAGCAGCCATCTTGGATTGCACTCTGGTCACCATGACTAGGGTACTTTTGATATCGATTGGCACACATTGTCTTTCATCATCCTGGTGTCCATATGAAAGCCGGGTGCTTCGCCTTCGTGCTCGCTACGACTCTGCAATTGTTTCTTATCATTGTGGAATACATACCTTATAACTTCGATCTACGCCCTGCTATCTGGATGTTTAACTTTGGAATTTTTTACACGGTTGACGCTATTGTTCTCTACCATTTTCACTTCCTGAAGAAACCTATCGTTGCCATCTCCTTTATTTATTTCTCTATCTATGTTATACTACTTTGTTACTGTATGTTATACTACATGCAGGTTATATTATATGCAGTAAACTCTAAAACTTATTAATGTCGCATTGTAGAAATTTGAGGAGAATTAGCTGGTGCCACATTCTCTCGTTCTGTCGACAAGTTGTCTTTTTAAATCTGAACTGTATAAAGACGAGCGTGTTGATTATGTTTGAAGTTTGCTCTAAAAGAGTTGTTTTTTTCCTATGAGATGTTCAAGTTTTTGATTAAAAAGAACATTTAATGTCACTGAAGGTAAATGATCCAATACTGGCAAAAATAAGTTTCTTTTGTATGTATCTGGGTCTAGGAAGTAGATCAAGAGTTCACATTCGGAACTAAGTAGTCGAGATTGAGTACTAACTATAGCCAAAAGCGTGCGCAAAAATAACTTCGGATTTATGGCATATTTAACTTCAGTTTTGCGGGTTTATTACAATAGATTTCGCTAGGACCCATTTTAGTAAGACTAGGGTCACTAAAAATAACTGACTTAAAAATGAGAGCTTTGGGAAAAGTGACTGTGTGATAGATGACTCAACATATTGTTCGACTGGTGTAAGTCATGCAAGTGTATCAGGAGACTTCTAAAGTATTCAACGGCTTTCTGACTGAGGTGTTTAAGCCAGAAATCAAGTGGATGCTTGGAAAACTGGTGGTGATGGTGCATCGAAGTCTGTCCATGACAAATCAATCAAAGTTCATGCAGTCGCAGGTCGCATGAGCCAAAAGCTAACATCCTATGACTTCCACGGGTAAAAACGCAAGATTTGAGTATCAGTTCCAGATCTAATCAAATCAAAAGGTTGCAATCGAAACCGCAAGGTAACTACTTTAAACATCCTTTATTAACAAAAGTCAGTAATCATGCACAAATACTTTAAAAGAGTTCAGCTCTCAAAGTAGCATACATTCCCTCGATATACCATTTCAGATTTTTCCAATATATTTTCTCATTTTCAAATGTTGCTATTTTAATTTCAAGCGATGGAGTTGTATTTATCTTCATATCGACGTTAAATATCCTTAACGATGGCAAGGATGAAACTAAATATCGCAATTTCTCACCGTTTAACAGTTTCTGATCATAACCATAACCAGATAATTCAAATTGTTTTAAGTTAAGCAATGGTGATAAGTATAGTAGTTGATATAAATTATCATAGGTTGTACGAAAAAGATTAATGTTTAAATATATTAATTTTGATGATAAAACTCCTGTTTCAAGTGTATCAGATATTGAAACGTTTAAATATTTTAAATTTGACGATTTTCGAAGAAAACCAGCGAGGTTTGACGAATGAACATTTCGAATTGTCATATGTTCTAAATTATTACTTCGGTTTCTAGTTGTATCGTTGAGACATACATGTTCAACAGAGTAATGTTGAACTTTGGGAATGTAAACAAATTTTCTCAGTTGTGGTAGTTCATTCTCAAACACGATTCTTCTAACAAATTCGCATTCATTGAGTGTGTTTTGCACTACGAGTGTTCGAAGCTTACCCAGGGATTCTAATTCTGAGAGAAAATCTTGAGAATGATTAGTGCTATTGAAGAAAATGGATTGTAAATTAATGAATGTTGAAATATGAAATTTTAAATATGCTAAAAATGGTCCACTCGTTATAGTTAATGATATTATTTGATGTTGATTAATTCGATTGAATACACAGCGATCACGACAGTCGCGAACGCTATTTGAATCAAAATATAAGCGTAGTAATGAATCATTTAAGATGTGATTGAAACGTGTGTTTAAGTCAGAGAAAGCATGATATAAATGAATTGCATCCAGGTATTCAAACACAGAAATTAACAATTCATCACTCAAATGTTCTAAAAGTGTGTAAACCATTTATTTATCGCAAATTATGTATTCTATAATTTTAAGAAAATGCTGTACTCTTTTCTTCTCTTCTGTTTTATTTTGCTTACGTGGGTAACACAAGAACTACTGGAAGAAAGACGTGAAAAAAAGAAAAGAATAAAACAAAAAAACTAACTAAAGCACATCAAATTCTCGAGTAATATTAAGTGCTTTGTGGCTCTTATTTTACTTCTTTCTTCCGGTAACTCTCGTGTAACCGCGTAAACAAAATAAAACAGAAGAGAAGAAAAGAATATGTCATTTTTTTAAAATTATAGAATACATGGTTCACGATAAATAAATGATTTACACATTTCTAGAACATTTCAGTGATGAACTGTTAAGTTCTATATTTGAATATTTCGATGCAGTTATTACATTAAGTGTATCCTAAGTTTGACGTTTGCAATGTAGGTTTCTTGTATGAGACAGCAAACAAATCGTGAATTAACCGTAGTGACAAAATTCAAGGAAAGTTATTGTGAACAAAAGGCATTTTATAGGTTTGAGAAGTTTTAAAACACCAATAAGCAAGCATTAGAGTTAATCGTTCAAATTTGATCTCCGCGAAAGTATCTTAGAGTATGTCTTAACAAACGCTGCCTATCATACAGAGGCTCCAGGTTCTTTCCGATGGCTGGTTTTAAACCCTTTTGATTCATAACTATAATTGTCTGCGGGTACTAGTCCCATTGTGGGCCTAACGATAACAATATGTAGGGAAAAATGGAGAACGTACAAGAACATAATATATAATCGTATATGAATATAAAATAGTGAAATAATAAGAAAAAGAGGAGGGAAACATAACAGGACAGTGGTTATGGGTACAGTGTATAAAAACTGTTTAACGTACGGCTAGCTATTCAAATTTCTTTGCTTATTGTATATAAATATTGATTGCATTAAGAATAGAGATTACTGAGTCATCATTTAAACTATGGTTATTCATCAGTAAAATATCTGCTGTAATCACGTTTGGAAAATTAAGTTTCTGTTTAGGTTGTTGACGTTTAGAATTATAACGAGTACAATGTAAAAGATAATGTTCAATATCCTCATTATCATTCCCACAACTACATTTAGGAGAATCAACACATATTCAACGTAACCGTTAGCAATTCAATGCACAAAAATGCAGCTTTGGACGCATAAACCAAATTTCAGCTGTACGGGTAGAAAATGTTTTGAGAAAACTGGTGTAAGCAAATACTCGGTGTTTAAAGTATCACGCACTTTTTATATTTTCACAGATAGATATTCTGAATTCTTTTGTAAGAGATCATTTCGTTTTTGCGCAGTGTAAAGAAATCTCTAACACTACCGTCAATCGCTGCAACAATAGATCTCTGATTACTACGCAAATTATATCTGGGATTTGACTGATGGTGTTGTGTATAAGAGATAAGATATCGGGGCACTAAGTCTCTACTAATTTTTGAAAATGTTATAAGACGAAGTATTTTAAAATGATCTTTGAAAGGAATAGGCATGCAACAATCCCAAACTAGGAATCGCTGATCGGCACCGAACGGTTTGGTGACCGAACATGTTCGGTTACGAACGGGTTCGTAACCGAACATGTTTGGTCACCAAACCGTTCGTAACCGAACATGTTCGGTCACCAAACCGTTCGCAACCGAACATGTTCGTTCACCGAGCGGTTCGCAACCGAACATGTTCGTTCACCGAGCGGTTCGCAACCGAACATGTTCGCTGCCGATCAGCGAGCCCTAGCTTGGGATGGTTGCATGCCTGATCTGGACTAAAGGCAAATTGAATGAAATTGAAGCTTTTGAAGGAACTAACCAGTGAGAAAA